AAGGTCACATATTCACAGGTGTAACACTATAGGCAGGAATCATGGGGACAACATCCTGCCTCCCATATTTTCTTAGTTGTCCCATTGATTGTTCATGTCCGCCCTTCTAGAATCTGTGAGGGCAGGGATCTTTGTCTGCCTGACACACACTAGGCATTCAAATATTTGTTGAATGAATGCAGTCTGGGAGATTAGTGTAAACAGCTGCCTTTCCCAATGGCACACATCTTTTTAGACTTTCTCTTCTTCTTTTAGAGATGGTCCTGACTTTTATTTTGATCTGATTTTACCCCATCAGTGTGGTTTTCCCCGGCCCCCACACATCATTGCTTACAGCACGGTTAGTTAAGGGAATTGGCAGCACGGTAATGTCATATTTTCACGGAGACTCCTAGTTGCCACAAGAGACACACTGAGGACATGGGGTACAGAGGGGACCACAGAACGGAGGGAAGCTCAGAGGCCAGCACAGGCTGTGGAGCCTCAGGCACTCCCCCGTGGAGCCAAGTGTCCAATGATTTCTTGGAACAGAACTCTTCGGGGATAGTAGAACTAGTCATGGAAATGTCTTAAGCATTGTTTTGCTCAGTAAAAAAAAGTTTAAGACTTAGTCTGCACATGTACATTATCCAATGAAACATTTAAAAACCATTTAATCATTTGGATGTTTTTAAAGACCTGTTGCTTAATATTATGTAGACAGCCTAAATCCTAGGACGATAAAGATCTGAGCTTGGCCAAAAAGTTTGAAGCACACACAAGTAACAGATTTGCCATTTGGGTTACAGTGTGGAAAAAAAAAATCTCTGGAAACAGATTTATGTATTAGTTTTTCACTTTGCCACCAGATGTCCTTCATGAGTAGGAAAATATGATGGCTCGAATGATATTTTGAAGTGTGAATGCCCAGCATTTTTGAATAGTTGACAGAGAAAGGAAAGTGTGAGTGGATGTAACTGCTAGCACAGACTTTTGGATGAGACATGTATTTTGAAGGCTGCTTTACAGGTGTAGCTTTCAAAAGCAGTATTTAACTCTCAAAGTTTCATCTCTCACCCTCTGCAAACATTTACTCACCATATTTCCTTTCCACTCAACTCCAAATTGATGTTTTTAAAATCAGAGCATATAAGAAATAATCACATCTTTACACGAACATGAGAGATGAAAATTTAGTATTTTAAGTGGAATTTCCCAAGGATTCAAGGTAATGGAACCTCAGGCTCCTTGACACAAGAGCAACATAAGATATGACACTTAACTTCATTCTAGAAGGAGCCTCCGTGCAACTGCAAGACCATTCAAAGAGGACGATGCGTGATTTAGGATAAAATCAAATTGGCAATTGCGGTTTGTTGCTAATGATATAACTCAAAGGGAAGTGTAGAGTGTGAGATATTTAAATTAATAAACAGCGTCTTTTAAAAATAGAAATCATTTGGCCGTGTGTATTTTAAATGCGTAACAGAAATCCTCCTAAAAGAACGGCTGTCCTAAGGAGTTTGTTGTGTGAATTACCCGGTGCATCAATAACACCCAGGTATGGGATTCTCACCCTCTCTGCAGCATCACTGAAGTCAGGGGATAAACCTGTGTTTTATGGTGAGGGTTCCTCATTCCTTCATTAGATGGGCGGGAGTGGGACAGGCAACCTATTTCCAGAAAACTAAAGGCCATCTGCATGAGATGTCAGCCAAGCAACCAGATGTTTGATGTGGATTGGCTCCCACATCCGGCTTCTTGACCGAATTCCTCCTCTTTCCACCCAGATGTTTTGGAGACACATACAGAGAACTTAATGAAGGTTGTTCTGGCACCGAGGAAGGGGAGGTAATCTTTTAGTGTCCTGCAGGGGGCGAAGTTACCTCTGATTTTTCTCTATTCAGTTCACACATTTCCAGCAGACTCCCAACCACACTAGCTCCTTCTCCCTTGACTCCATCCTTCCGGAATCACATCTGGACTTTTTCCAGCTCTTTAACCTGAGACTTCTCAGGGGGAGCTGGGGAGGGATCAGAGAAGCGGGACTGGGTGAGGTGATGGGTTAGAGATCCAGCGGTCTTGGAAAATTTCGAGGTTATGAAAATGTTAGAGCTGCATCTCTTTATCCCCCCTCTGCCCCACTATCCACTCCAAGGGTGTTTTCTAGTGTTTTCCTGCAAACACGTGCACCTGTTGGGAATGGTGGGGACATGAAGAGAGCACACCCTCTTCTGTGGCCTTCAGCTGAATGTCACTGCCCTCAGGGTCATTGTCATGTTTCATTTCACATATTTTCCCTCTGGCTCTTACAAGACTTGTGTGCTCCTGTGTTCATCATCTGGGGGCACCTCCTTTTCCAGAACTATTCAACAGGAACTGAGAGGTCGTCTTGATGGGGATGGGAGGCTCATGGCAGACTCAATTCAGGATTCTTGCTCAGATGTTTGATACATTCAGTGCCATTTCAACCCGGGTCACAAGGTCCATCTACTTCTAACCAAATATTTAGGATAAAGGGAAGATTGTATGTGTGTACACCTATATAGTGCTCTCCACAAGATCATATGTGCATATACAATTATATGTGCACATATAATAGATGGGTCACAACCTATCTTTGTGTTTTAAATGGCACAGCCCTCCCTAGGTGCCCTTGTCTATGCTCAGGGGTTTTACAGCTTTCCAGTACTTTCCCCACTGCCTCATAGGTTGGAACTGCTTTTTACTCTGCTTGTGTCTCACTAGATGTCTTAAGACGAAGGTGTGACTATGTTTGAGAAAGGAGAAGGGTCTTGGCAGGAAGCCTACATACACTTGCTGAGATTTCAGATCTTTTGATCAGAGCTCTTGGCTGCTGTGATTTTATGCACTGCAATGATTTTATGCCCAAACAAGTCCCAAAGAGGAGAAAGAAGTGATGGAAGCTTTTAAATTCTAAGGATCCTGGCATCCCAGACCAAGTAGTGATATATTTTCTTTTCACATGAAAAGAATCCCTGCTGAAGATCAGCCTTCAGTGTTGTTGAAGTTGTGTTGCCTGAGGTCAATGGCTATGGACCTTTGTAGAACTAAAGACTTCACTCTTAGAATTAAATTTGAATTAAGAAATTAAATTTGTAGAATTAAAGACTAAACGATCACTGCGTCTGGGCCCAGAGGGGAGAAAGAGCAGTTCAGTGGGTGGGGGAAGGTGAACACCCTTGCCCATGAAAAAATAGATTCTTTGAAATCAGAGGCGCTTATCGGATGTCAATCAGCAGAAACCCCATGATCTTTGGAGTCCATGAATCCCACAGCTTATGTCTATTTGGACCGGCTCAGAAATGCCTTGGACTGTGTGAACTAAGCCTATCAGCGAAGTTTTCCTTTTCTGATTCATGTACTTTTCGCCAAGTAAAAGATCCTAGTGTTCTAAGTGAATTTGTTTCTAGATCTATAGATCTCATAGTGTGAGAGCAAGAGGATTTGCATCCTGAATGGCAGATGGTGGTGCTGATGCTTGGGCCCTCTCCATGACTGGGAAGTATACCTGAAGAAGTCATGCAAGCGCAACATGTGTCCTCTCCGCTTGATCTTGCCTAGTGCTGCCGGCAACGCTCAGCACCTGTGTCTATCACCCTGAATGGGAACACGCCAAGCCCCTACCTGCGCTGGAATTATCTATAATAATTCACGAAAGGCTCTATTGTATCTCGATGCATTAAAATGAAAAGTTAACAGAAAAACTGGAGAAGCCCTGAAACATTACCAAAAGCAGAGGGTGGCTTTTCTGTTATATTTGCCTAATTACACCCCCCCCCCCTTCCTTTAAGATCCTAGCCTAAGAAGCCAAGGCAGGGCCAAAATCAAGAGATCCATCAGGGTATCCGGCCCCCAAGCTCCCAGGACCCTGGCTCTGGCTTCCACTTTGGCCCCCCCCCCCTCCGAGGGTGTGTCCCAGCTTCCCGCTGACTTCCCTTCAGCAGTCACGTGTCCGCTGAACACCCATAAAAAGACACTAAGTGATAGGAACTCTTGCTGTTGTTCCTCTGTTCATACAGGTGGCAGTGACTTGGCAGCTGATTTTGCTTTCATGTACCGAGAGCATCCAGTGAGGCCTCTTAGGCGATGGCAAACGACGGCGGGTTTACCTTAGGGCGCGGACCCCGTCGACCTACTTTGGGCGCCTCCGGGAGAATTCCCGGGACTCGCAACCTACGCGCGGCCCGGGCGACGCCTCCCCGGAGAGGGAGGGTGAAAGAAGGGGGCGGGCCTATTCAAATGCGGGCGAGGCGCGCCCCGCCATTGGCTGCCGGCCTGTCCGTCACCGCGGGGGGCGGGGCCTCCCGGGGCTGGAGTGCGGTACCTGAGCGAGACGCGCACCAGAGAGCCCACGTTGGCCGCTGCGGGGAGCGCGGCGCCGGGAGGCGGGAGGCTGCGAGGTCGCGCGCGGGGGCGGCGGGCGCTGCTCGCTCCCGGCCGGTCGGCGCGCGGCGTTCGCGGGGCAGCCCCGGGAGCCCTGCGCCGAGAGCCGCGCCGCCTCCGCCCGCGGGGCCGAGCGGCGCTGCCCGAGAGTCGAGGGGCGCGGAGTCTGCGAGCGGGGAAGTTGAGCGCGGCGGAGGAGGCTGGCCCCTCGGGGCGCCGCGGCGGACGGGCGGGGGCCCCCGGCGGCGGAGCGGGCCCCGCAGAGGCGCGCGCGGGGATGCTGCCGGCCGCCCGCCCCGGCTGCTGAGCCGCCCGGAGGGCGCGGGACGGCGCACGTGCGCGGGCCGCGAGGCCCGACGGTGACCGCGCCGTGACCCGCCCGCGGGCGGGAGCGAGGGCGCCGGCTGCAGCGCGGCCCGGCTCGGACGCACCTGGCCCGGACCTTGCGCCGCCGAGGGGCCCGCGCCCGCGCCCAAGCCCGCGCCCGCGCCCAAGCCCGCGCGTGGGGCTGCCCCTCGCCGAGCGGCTCCGCGGGCGAGCGCCCCCGCCGCCTCCCCTGCAGCCCGGGCACTCGGGGGCGCCCCCGGGACGATGAGAGATCAGGACTGAGGGCCAGGAAGGGGAAGCGAGCCCGCCGAGAGGTGGCGGGGGCTGCTCACGCCGAGGGCCACAGCGGCCGCGCTCCGGCCGCGCTCCGCCGCTGCGCGCCCCGCGGGGCCAGCCCGGCCGGGCGGGGATGCTGGGGCCGCGGGCGCCGTGGCTGTGCTGCTGGTGGTGGGGGCTGCTGTGCAGCTGCTGCGGGCCCCCGCCTCTGCCCGCCGCCGCCGCCGCCGGGGGGGCGCTGCTGGGGGACGGCGGGAGCCGGGGCCACGCGGAGCCCACGCCGCCGCCGCCGCCGTCCTCCTCCTCCTCCTCCACCTCCTCCTCCTCCACCACCTCCTCCTCCTCCACCACCTCCTCCTCCTCCGGCTTCCTCTACCGGCGGCTCAAGACGCACGAGAAGCGCGAGATGCAGAAGGAGATCCTGTCGGTGCTGGGGCTCCCGCACCGGCCCCGGCCCCTGCACGGCCTCCCGCCGCCGCAGCCCGCGGCGTTCCCGCAGCAGCAGCCTCGCGGGGAGCCCCCCCCGGGGCGGCTGAAGTCCGCGCCCCTCTTCATGCTGGATCTGTACAACGCCCTGGCCGCCGCCGACGACGAGGGCTGGGAGGCGGACGAGCAGAGGCGGCCGCGCGGGCCCCGCGGAGGGGCCGGCTCGTCCCCGCCCCGGCGGCCGCCCCCCGGCGCGGCGCCCCCGGGCGGCAGCAGGAGCCTCGTGGCCGCGGGACCCGGCGGCGGCGGCGGCGGCGGCGCGTCCGCACTGACCAGCGCGCAGGACAGCGCCTTCCTCAACGACGCGGACATGGTCATGAGCTTCGTGAACCTGGGTAAGGATCCGGGGTAGCGGGGCCCGGGCCCGTCGGGTGGAGGGGCGCCCCCCCCCCCCAGGTGCGCGGGGATGCGAGGGCGGGCGGGCTGCGCTCCCGACACCTGCGCGGCGGCGGCTGCACGTGCGCTGCGCGGGGCTGCGGGGCGCGGGGGGCGCGGGCTCTCGGGCTGCGGCGTTGCTGCAAGCCCGGGCCCGGGACCAGGTTAGCTGGGCTGGAGCACGGAAGGCCCGCCCGGGTGTAGCCCGCTGGGAAGCCCAAGGCTCTCAACACCCGCCCCCCCTTCTCCTTCCTTTCGCACCCTCAAAGCTCCGAGTGCAAGTTTCCCCACCGGGACCTTGTAGGGCATCTGGTAGCCGCAGCCGAGCACTTTGGGAACTTGGCGTGAGCGCGTTCAGTGGTATCGGCGGATCCGGGGTGGGGAGGGAGGGGGAGGGAGGGGTTGCAGGAGAAGGTGCGGGCAGGCCCCGGGAAGGCGCGCCGGCCGGGGTTCGCGCGGGTTTGGGAGCGGATCCCACCCAGGCCCTTAGCTCACGTGCCGTTGGCCGGCGCCCCTAAAGCCTCAACTTTTTTCTGATCGCTGCTCCCCGAGCCGCACGGGCAGAGAAAGGGTGCGGGTTAGGGGCCGGGGCTGGGCGCTGAGCTGGTCTGAACCGGTTGCCAGGCAACAGAATGGAAATTCAAGGGCGGCTAAATCGGGCTCCGCCACAAATGTTCTGTGGCAAACCCGGACGGAGTCACATAGCCTTTTTTTTTTTTTTTTTTTTTTTTCCCCTCGAGTTTTCTCATCTAAGTGAGAGCAAGGAAAACTTTTTTTTTTTCTTTTTTTTTCTCCTCCTCCTCCAGGATCAGTGCGTCTGATCTGTGCTACTCCTCATTCATAAAGTGACTCAGCGTAGATCAGGGATGTAGGGGATGCGTTCTGGGCAGGGAGATGTGGGGGCGCAGTGGTCACCTCCGGGGGGGGGGCGGTGGTGTCCGCGCACTTCCCCTCCCGTGTGAGACGCGTGGCCCTGCCCAGGCCCCAGAGTGGGTTACCAGCCACTTGCCAGAGCCATGTCAAAGACGTCTGTCCTTTGACATTATTTACTTGAACCATCACTGTGTCTATGAGATGGTTCTCAGCTCTGCTGGGCTTTGGGGGAAGAAAGGAATGGGGGCCCAAGGGGGAGGTCCCGTTGGCACCCAACCGGTGCAGAAATCCTCCTGGGAAATTCATGAAACAGAATCTCACAGGGAGTGGAGGCTCAAGGCCTGCCAATCTGGCTACTTGCAGTGCCAGGAGTACTGATTGGGTAGGATTTTTCACAATTTATTGGAATCAAATCCAAGGCTGAGGCACCTCCAGGAAGCCTTCTAAGGACTGACTGCAGTCAGTAAAGTTTGCAGGGAGGGACGGTGTGGAGGGCCAGCGCTCTTCTTATTCTGCTTCCTTCCAGGCTTCTTCGGCTCAGTGAATTCCACCTCTTGCCATCCCCCTCCCTGGTGTCCTGACAGCGTTGGGGGAGGATGTTTTATTACCTCTCGGGGTAGTCCCAACCTGGGCAAAGTGGAAGAATGGTACTTCTGGCTCTTTGATGGAGACTCATTTACAGTCTCCGGAGAACAGTTCCTGAGCTTATTAGACCAGAGCGCTAACCTTAGCTGTCCTTTAGCATTACCTGGGGCACCTAAGGGATGCTGGGGCTGCTCCCAGAGCAACTAAGTCAGAGTCTTTGGGGGTGGGCTCTGGTAATTTTTTTTTTTTTTTAAAGAAACTTTGGTATTTCTAATGTGCCATCATGGACACAGGAGATCCTGATGTCTGATGGAGATTAAGGTTATACGAGTCAAATATTAAAAGCAGTGCTTCCTTATGTTAGTGCTGCACATTAGAATCACCTGGGGGGTCTTAAAAGTCAACATGCTCAGGGGGTGCCTCATATCGATTAAACCAGTGTCTGGGGTGGAAGCCGGGTATCCCGTAGTTTTAAAGATTCCTCATGTGAATCCAGTATTGGGGAACCACTGCCAAGGTGCTATTTGCAATTGTTAGGGTTGGCTTGAGGCAAAGTTTGTAAAGGATGGTGACATTTACTGTGTTTAAAGTCCTCTAAATTCTCCTCGTTCCTTGCTTGTCTGACCTTTCCTGGTCTACAGGTACACATTGGTTCTGAGTCACACTGCTTGGAGCTGGTTTTCAACTAAGCCTGCGAAGGTGATGGCTTAACTTATATTTCTCATAAGGGAAACTTCAAGGTTCCAAAAAAACAACATGGAGAAACTCCAAGAGAATTCCACAGAAGTGTCATTTCAGGCCTGGGACTGGCTAATGTGGTACTGGCAGAGATTCCTGGGTAGGAAACTCTGCCCCAAGCTCCTCCTGTCATAGCAGTGGGCTTTCCGTCTACAAGTTGTCACTATCTGTAGGTCCAGCCGTGGAGTCCACATGGGCGGGGGTGGAATGAGGATGGGGGGGAGACCTTTTCCAGGTAAGTAGAATCCAAGTCACAAGCCATGCCACCTGCCGGTCCAGCAGTTCTGTTTAATCTTAATCCATTTAGCTGTAGGAAAGAGGATTTCAGAATGAGAGGCTAAAATGTGATAAAATCTGATTCTCATAACTCTGAGCATGAGGACAGTTCATTTGAAGAAAGTAATTGCTTAGCAATATGGATTCTTTGAATCAGGATGTTGGGAGAATTCTGCAGATTTCCATGTCCGGGGCATGGTAGCTGCTGCATCACAAGACTCATTTAAGAACCTACAGAAAGTTACAGGTTTTAAAGTACTTTTACCCTGAGTGAGTCAGGTAAATAAACTGAAAGTATGAGAAAGTGACACATAGTTGTAAACATCTTTTTTCCCTGAGAAGAGAGAACAATTTACTCATGAAACACATTTAAAACATCCTGAGCCTTCTCAGCCAGAGTGGCCATCAGGAAGTATGAATCAACAATTAAGTCGCTCCCACAGATCCCAAATGCTGGTCCCTCGACCAGGTCACTGTTGTTGAAGTTGACTGTCTTAAATGCCCTGGGTGAATAGGCTGGAGGTGTGTAACCTCGGTAGCACCAACTGGCTGGTGTGCAGGGTGCCTGGACGGGTGGGTGCATTCATTCAGGGCCACAGATGCCATTTTCTGCTTGTTTTCCAATGCTAAAAATGTCTTGGCAGTCCCATAAGCAGGCCTGCCAGTTTGGTGACCTTGGAGAAGTATCCTGAAATATCCTTTAGGACTTAAAATTCACCTTCTTAGAAAAGCCTTCTCTAACCCCTCTATAGAAAACCGTGCTGTCTTCACCCCCCCCCCCCCACCTACTTCTTTTCAGTCACAGAACTCTGCTTATTCTCTTTGCTCGGGCTAATCACGAGTATTTTTTTTTTTTTTTTTCGCCTTTTAAAATTTGCTTACTCGTCACTCCTCTGGGTGGCAGCCTCAAAAGGCAGTCAGGCTTTATCCACCATTGAAACCTAAGTCTTACTATCATGCGGAGCACATAGAAGATGCTTAATAAAGACTGAATTAATGAAAAGAAAGACCTATCCTTCATTTAAAATTCCTATTTCAGTAATCTGGAGGGTCTGATTATTTGGAAATCATATACCTGGTTTCTGTTAAGTCAAAGACATTTGAAGTAAAGGCATTTATTTAGGACGTGGAAGTTAATGGCATCTGGTGTGTATCTTAATGCTTTATTAATACACCTTTTTTTTTGGTTAGTTACCCATATGTGTATTTCTGATGTGCATCACATTTAAGAGTGGTGCAGAGGTTTCCTTAAATCTCTGCATTTCAGACTTCATTTATTTTGAATTAATGAGGTGTTGATCTCTAGATGCTAGGGTAAAAATGAAATAAAAAACTCAAATTATGCTCAGAAAAGGGAATCAGTATGTATTAGTACAAGTAACAAGAAACTTATTGTACTAAAAATACTGGCAATCTTCTGAACAAAATTACCCTTGGGAAACATAAATTAGAAGAAAAATGGAATACTCCCTACTTGTATTTGTAACCAGATACACTGTACTGTCTTTTTCTCATAAACATAGGATCAGTGGTACTATTTTTCATGGAGGCTGCCTGTACTTATGAAGATTTTTGTTAGCAGAAAATAAATCCCTGCCTGCAAGCTACTCACAGCGAATGTAATTTGGAGAATTTGGTTGCCAGAGTGTGGTTCAAAGGAGCAGGAGATGTCCTAAAGAAATTTCAAATAGTGGTATTTCAACAACAACAAAAAAAAGTTGTACAAAGTGTTCTTAAACTCAGATCAAAGGGCAAGCAGATATCATTGTTTCGACCTCAGATGGTGTTTCCTCTGGTTGTCCTTCTAAGAATGGGTATAAGTCCTTTTTTAAATGTGCTGAATCATGCTTAGTTCCTCTCCTGAAGAGCCCACCTCTGATTAGCTTGGAGGAAGGATTCCTACTGATAGAAAAATCCGTGTGTCGGGGGAGGGGAGCAGGAATGACATTCAACACTTTATTCAGAAAGTGCCCTCACAGTTTTCAGAGTTGAGTGACTTTATATGTTGGATTTCAAAGTAATATTTTACTTAAACACGAGGGTGGGTGGGTGCATGTGGGTGTCAACGGTGGTTGGTTAGCAGACTCCCGAAGATGACAGCCCTGACATCCTGCCTCACCGTCAGTTGCAAGAGCTGAATTAGAAAAGGAACACAAAGGGGCACCTGGGTGGCTCAGTGTTTGAGCATCTGCCTTTGGCTCAGGTCTTGATGCCAGGGGTCCTGGGATCCTGTCCCCCATGGGGCTCCCCCCTGTGGGGAGCCCACTTCTCCCTCTGCCAGTGTCTCTGCCTCTGTCTCTGAACAAATAAAATCTTAAAAACAAAACAAAAACAAAAACGAAGAGGGCAACATTTCTTGGATGATTCACCAGCGTTCTTTGATTTTTTTTTTTTTCCCCACAAGTCTGTCCTTCACTCTCTGCCCTCCCTTCCTGTATTTGAAAATTAGTGCATGGAATGCTTATTTTTTTCTTAATATAAAGCCAGG